CATGACCTAGAATCAGTCTGATGTTTCGCCGTGTTTTCTAGGTCATTTGCCATGATGGCCTAGAAAACTCAACTTGCAAAAATTAGACCACCACGTTAAAATTACCTAGAATTGGTCTGATAGGCACCTAGTGTTATTTCTAAGTCCTTTTAGAATGGTGGCCTAACTTTTTAAAGTTAGGGTTTTCTAGGCCATCATTATGAAATGACCTAGAACACACACAAGGTGAATATCAGACTAATTCTAGACCAAAAAAGTAGTGGCCTAGAAACTTCCACTTGCAAAAGTTAGGCGACCGCGCTAAAATGACCTACAATGAATCGGTCCGATGTTTGCCTGGTATGTTTTCTAGGTGATTTTAGCATGATGGCCTAACTTTTGCTAGTTGGTTTTCTAGGGCACCATGTTGAAGTGGCCTAGAAAACACACCAGTTGAATACCAGACTGATACTAGGCCGGAAAATAGCGGTGGCCTAGAAAATTCAACTTGCGAAAGTTAGGTCATCAGGTTGAAATTTATTATTTTCGAAAAATTAGAAAAAAAATTAGTGTCGAAAGGATTTCCAGAGGTTGGGAGTTTCAGAACTTTAGAATTACAATTGACCATGATTCCAGAATTTCAGAATTTCAGAACCAGTATTTCCCTAGCCAAAATTACCTTTTTGATCACAGCCTTATACATCTTGATCATCGGAGCCGGATCCAACGGAGCCACCTGATCGTGCCAATCGTGGTACCAATAGTGATGGACCAAGTGCTTGGTGGAACTGTTTCTGCAATTTTTGGATTAAAACACTTTTAGTCAAAACTCAACAACTCACTTCTTCTGAACCTGAAGCACTGTCACCTTGACAGGACTGAATATCTCGACAGTCTTCTCGACAATCTTGACCTTGTAGTCACCGTACTCTTTCTCTCCGCCGTTTTCCAAAAAATACTTCTGGCACTTTTCTTGCTCATCCTCCACGTATTGACAAAGCATCACAATCACCGAGCACTTCTCCGTATAAATCATGTGCCAAAAATCGGTGATTGTATTTTTGATGGGTCCCTGAGTGGAGATGAATTGCACACCGTCTGGCATTTCCATCCATGACGCGTGGATGTAGTCGTTCGAAGAATCACGATCCTTCAGGACGACACGATTCTCGTTGGCACAAACGATGTGGTTGTAGCTGGAATTTCAGATTTTCAGACATTCCAGAAGTTCGGGCATTCCACGAAATTTCAAGTTGAATTTCGGACATTATTCAAGTTTTGGGTTATTTTAAGAAATTCAGAATTACATTTTTCGGAATTTTGGTTTTTTTTACTTTTTGCAATTTCAGAATTTCAGAATTTCACAGCTTCAGGATTTCAGGACGGAAAAACAGAATTTCAGAATTTCAAATTCTCAGAATCTGAGAATCTCAGAATCTCAAATTCTAAGAATCTTAGAATCTCAGAATCTCAGACTTGGACTGAAAAACAAAAAAAAAATTCAGGACTGAAACACAGAATTTCAGAATTCTAGGATTTCTGAATTTCAAAATTTCAAGGTTTTCGGAATTGCGGAACTTTGGAATTTCTGAATTTCTGAATTTCCGAATTTCAATTTCAGAGTTTCAGAATTTCTCAGTGTTTGAATTTTTTGAAGTTTTCGAACTTTTAGGAAATTTTTTGGATTTTTTGGTTTTCATTTCAGAATTTCTAAACTTCGAGGTTTTGAATTTTTGGAAATTTGAAAATGTTTTGAGATTTATGATTTTTAGAAATTTTTCGGTTTTTGATATTTTCGAAATTTCAGGCTGATTTAGAATTTTTAGAATTTCCCGGAATATCAGATTGAAAATTTTTCAGAAAAAAAATATTTAAAAAATCAAAAAAAAAAAAAAACTTTCAACCATTCAAAAAATCCCAAAGCCTCACCGATTTTTCTCAGACATTTTCTCCGAGACGCTCGTTTTGACATCCGGCTTGTACTCTTTACAATCACGAAACTCCTGTGTAATTTTGGAAATTTTCGCTGCTTTCAAAGTCTTCTGACTCCACGTCACACAGTTTTGCGACTTTTCCGATAGCTTCTCATCGGAGTTCACTTCGACAAATTGCGTTTTATCCAATTTTAATGAATTCGCCTGGGGTACGTCTTCCTGACTGTTCAGTGCTGCGTCCTTGTTGTTCACTCTCTCGGCACTTGGTTTGATATCAGTTGTTTCATTGTTCCCGGTTGCCTGAGATTTTGAATTTTTGTTTCAGAATATCAGCATTTCTGAATTTCGGAATTTCGGAATCTCAGAATCTCAAAAGCTCAGACTCTCAGAATCTCAGAATCGCAGAATCGCAGAATCTCAGAATGACAGAATCTCAGAAACTCAGAATCGCAGAATCTCCGAATCGCAGAATCTCAGAATGGCAGAATCTAAGAATCTCAGAATCTCAGAATCTCAGAATTTCAAAATCTCAGAATCTCAGAATCTCAGATTCTCAGAATCTCAGAATCTCAGAATTTCAGAATCTCAGTATTTCAGAATCTCAGAATCTCAGAATCTCAGGATTTCAGAAGTTCAGAATCTCAGAATCTCAGAATTTCAGAATATCAGAGTTTCGGAATTTCGAAATTTCAGAATTCAGAATTTCAGAATCTCAGAATCTCAGAATTTGAGAATTTGAGAATTTCGGAATTTCGAAATTTCAGAATTTCAAAATTTCAGAATCTCAGAATCTCAGAATATCAGAATCTCAGAATCTCAGAATCTCAGAATACCAGAATCTCAGAATCGCAGAATCTCAGAATCTCAGAATCGTAGAATCGCAGAATCTCAGAATCGCAGAATCTCAGAATCGCAGAATCTCAGAATCGCAGAATCTCAGAATACCAGAATCTCAGAATCGCAGAATCTCAGAATAGCAGAATCTCAGAATAGCAGAATCTCAGAATCTCAGAATCGTAGAATCGCAGAATCTCAGAATCGCAGAATCTCAGAATCGCAGAATCTCAGAATCGCAGAATCTCAGAATACCAGAATCTCAGAATCGCAGAATCTCAGAATAGCAGAATCTCAGAATAGCAGAATCTCAGAATGCCAGAATCTCAGAATCGCAGAATCTCAGAATCTCAGGATCTCAAAATCTCAGAATCTCAGAATCGCAGAATCTCAGAATACCAGAATCTCAGAATCGCAGAATCTCAGAATAGCAGAATCTCAGAATAGCAGAATCTCAGAATGCCAGAATCTCAGAATCGCAGAATCTCAGAATCTCAGGATCTCAAAATCTCAGAATCTCAGAATCGCAGAATCTCAGAATACCAGAATCTCAGAATACCAGAATCTCAGAATCGCAGAATCTCAGAATAGCAGAATCTCAGAATCGCAGAATTTCAGAATGCCAGAATCTCAGAATCGCAGAATCTCAGAATCTCAGGATCTCAAAATCTCAGAATCTTTCTCTCAAAAATTTCAAAAATCCTAGAATTTTCAGCAATATTTCTCCTTACCATGATTCAAACTTTGCTTTCAGGAGAGACACTTTTTTCTTCTTTACGTCAATTTTGTGCGATTCGTATTCGCTGGGGAGTAGAAATGAAGATGTGGTTAGAAAATTGATTGATTTTCAATTTTCGCCTATTGCTTATTTTCCTTTCTTTTTTTCGGTCGCCAGGAAGCGCCACGTTCGCCCAAATGCGCAATTTGAGATTTTTTTCAGATTTTCAAAAATTAAAAAAATTTCACAAAGAGATTTTTTTTGAGAATTTGAAAAGAGTAAAATCCGGAGAATTGAGATTAAGAGATTGATGATATGATTTTTTTTATGATCTGATTTTTAAAAACATTTAGCAGATTTTTGCGATTTCGGGAATTTCTCAAACATCGAAACTTTTAAAGTTCGTTTGAATTCCTCACATTATGGATTCTGGTGTCCTGGGGAGGAATGGAAGGTTCAAATCGCGTTGAGAGATATTTCTACGCTGAGTTTGGGGATTTTTAAAAATATAATATATCTTAAAATATAATATAATCTTAAACTTTGAACCTCAAATTTTAGGAGTCTGAGTTTTCTGAAAATTCTGAAACTTCCGAAATCCAAGATTCTGGAAAAGAAAAAGTACGGAAATTTTCTGATTTCAAAACACATTTTGAAAGGGGGGGGGGGGTCCATCTTCACAGAGGGTCCTTCTATTACAGGGGCCCTTCTATTTTTCCAAACCCCTTTCAAAGAGCCCTTGTATTAGAGGGGCCTTTCTATTAAAGGGGCCCTTCTGATACAGATTTTACGGTACTCTAATTTCAAAACTTTTCTATCATCAACTTCATTTTTCAAAAATAAATCTAAAGAAAACCCGAGTTCACAAAATGCCGCAGCATCCAAGACGTCTTCTCTTTTCCTCCTCTTTTTCCCTTTTTTCAATTCGTTTTCTTCTTTTACTATTCACTTTTTGAACTGGAAAAGCTCACTTTTCGTGAAATTACAATTTCCAAGTAGCCGTATTGTATGATTTTCCAGTGTTGCTTCTTGAGTGCTCTGCAGACTTTTCGATTGCACAATTTTCTCCGATTTTTCCGATTTTTCCGATTTTTTGGTTTCAGACTTTTCTACTTTTTCCAGAGTCTTCTTTTCCGATTTCTTCTTCTCCTCCTGGACCAAATTTTTTGATTTTCTGTTTTTTTTTTTGGATGTTCTGAAATTCTGAAATTCTGAAATTCTGAGATTCTGAGATTTTAAGATTATGAGATTATGAGATTCTGAAATTCTGCAGTTCATAACTTCCTGATTTTCTTTTTTTCAGTAAATTTTGAATTACTGAATTTCTGAATTTCCGAATTTCTGAATTTCTGAATTTCTGAATTTCTGAATTTCTGAATTTCTGAATTTCTGAATTTCTGAATTTCTGAATTTCTGAATTTCTGAATTTCTGAATTTCTGAATTTCTGAATTTCTGAATTTCTGAATTTCTGAATTTCTGAATTTCTGAATTTCTGAATTTCTGAATTTCTGAATTTCTGATATTCTGAATTTCTGAATTTCTGAATTTCTGAGATTCTGAATTTCTGAATTTCTGAGATTCTGAATTTCTGAATTTCTGAATTTCTGAATTTCTGAATTTCTGAATTTCTGAATTTCTGAATTTCTGAGATTCTGAATTTCTGAGATTCTGAATTTCTGAATTTTTGAAATTCTGCAGTTCATAACTTTCTGATTTTCTTTTTTTCAGTAAATTTTGAATTACTGAATTTCTGAATTTCTGAATTTCCGAATTTCTGAATTTCTGAATTTCTGAATTTCTGAATTTCTGAATTTCTGAATTTCTGAATTTCTGGATTTCTGAATTTCTGAATTTCCGATTTTCTGAATTTCTGAATTTCCGAATTTCCGAATTTCTGAATTTCTGAATTTCTGAATTTCTGAATTTCTGAATTTCTGAATTTCCGATTTTCTGAATTTCTGAATTTCTGAATTTCCGAATTTCTGAATTTCTGAATTTCTGATATTCTGAATTTCTGAATTTCTGAATTTCCGATTTTCTGAATTTCTGAATTTCTGAATTTCCGAATTTCTGAATTTCTGAATTTCTGATATTCTGAATTTCTGAATTTCTGAATTTCTGAGATTCTGAATTTCTGAATTTCTGAGATTCTGAATTTCTGAATTTCTGAATTTCTGAATTTCTGAATTTCTGAATTTCTGAATTTCTGAATTTCTGAATTTCTGAATTTCTGAATTTCTGATATTCTGAATTTCTGAATTTCTGAATTTCTGAGATTCTGAATTTCTGAATTTCTGAGATTCTGAATTTCTGAATTTCTGAATTTCTGAATTTCTGAATTTCTGAATTTCTGAATTTCTGAATTTCTGAATTTCTGAATTTCTGAATTTCTGAATTTCTGAGATTCTGAATTTCTGAGATTCTGAATTTCTGAATTTTTGAAATTCTGCAGTTCATAACTTTCTGATTTTCTTTTTTTCAGTAAATTTTTGAATTTCTGAATTCCAATATTCCAAGTTTTCAAACAAGTTATGAATCTGAAATTCTGATTTTTTTTAAATCCGAACTTTTCAGAAATCCCGAAAAATCAAAAAACATAATTTTTCAAAATTCTATTTTTTCCAAAATTTCCAAACAAAAAATCCTACCATTTCCAGCGCATCCTTTCTTTTCCTCCATTATTTTTATTTTTTCAAAAATCCTAGCCGAAAATCTGTTTCTTTTTCAAAAAATCTGAAATTCAAATTCCACGATTCTTCAAAAATGTGTTTTAAAAAATTGTTTATTTTACAATATATATCAAAACCCATTATTTTTTTAATTTCAAGGCTGTAAACTTTTTGGTTGGAACTGGAAATACTGAAATTTGTTGGGAAAGGGAAATTTTTGGCATAGATTTTGAATTATAATTGTTTGGAATTTTCAACAAAAAAAACAGGTTAAAGCTTTTCGGAAAACATTGGGAAGATGAAGGGAGAAGCTCAAAGTGGGCGTGGCTTATGGAAATTACCGGAAAATTCTTTTTTCACAGATGGTGTGGATCAGAAAGTTTCAGAAAAGGGGAAATTGACTAGTTAATAAAGAATTCTGACTGGATTTTTTCAAATGATTAGAAATCACATTTTCTTTGGAAACAATTTTTTAAATTTGGAATGATCAGGAAAAAGGGGGCGGGGCTTAGGCACGATATGGTGTGGAGGATTTGAAAACGACTTGGAGGGGTTTTCCAGCCAAATTTGTTCCATTCAGAGACACCATTGCATTATAGGCCTCTGTGTAGGTGCTCATCGAGACGAACGCGTAGCCCTTGCATTTTTGGGAGATGTCGCGAAGGATCTAGAAAATTTTGAATTTGAAAAAAAAAAAACTTTGAAAAAATATTTTTGAATTTTTTTTTGAAAACTTGAATTTGGTTAGATGGGTAGCGTGCGGTGACCCCTTCTATTCCTCTGATATCGATTTTTTGGCCGCTATGGTTGTAACTATTATTAAACATAAACCTCGAAATAAGAGAAAAGCTCTCTCGGCCTTGAAAGATGAAAATGGCGGTAAGAAATCCAAATTGTCTGAATATTCCAGTAAGCAAGCTGTGGATGATATAATTGAATTTGTGGATGATATGTCTAACCCATTATATGAACTGCTGTCCAATGATTTCAAATCGAAAAAAGAATTCACTGTGAATGATATTGCAATGATCTTTAAGTCGCTGGCTGAAACGATTCTCAAGCTTCAATCCCAAAACACAATGTTGAAAAACCAAAACTGTATTCTAAATGCCAATTTGTCGAATCTTACGGAAAAAGTTGACGGCTTGGAGGAGAATCTCAAATTGTTACCATCTCAACCTAAAGAATCACCAAAACCTCCTACTACATTAATTAAAACTTTTGCTTCAGCTGTCGCCTCAACCATCTCTGCTCCAGAATCCCAAATCACTTTCATGCGAGCTGCCTCATTGGCTAACTCTGAAGATGCACGGAAATCGAATGTGATCATCAAAAATATCGACCTTTCGGAAGAAGCTATTGAGAAAGCTGAATTCGCCTTTAAAATTGCCAAGAACTGTGGTACTTCGACGCCATCGGTTTTTCGCATACCTCATCCGGCCAAAGGGCCGCCGATTGTGCGCCTGGCATTCAAGTTCAAGGAGGAAGCAAGAACTGTCCTCACCAAATTCAACTCAATCAAGGCTTCAATACAGGGGTGCTTGAATGCGTCTCCCCGCCCAGACCTCTCCAAACCAGAACTCGAGAAATATCGACAATCCTGGAAAACGGTGATCCAAAAGAACAACGAGGCAGGTCAAACCATTTATACGGTTCGCAATCTGGAAGTCGTCAAAGTTGTCTACAGAGAAAATCAAGAGCCGTGGCCATGGGCCAAAAAACACTCGATCCCAGAAAATTTCTAAAAATTGGTTACACCAATAGCTGCTCAATTAAGAACAAAGTCCTCCAACTCGATCTATGGTCTTCTAATTCCAACATCGATATTCTCTGTTTAGTGGAAACTAAAATTGATTCAAACTATTCTGACTCCCTGCTATCTCTTGATGAAAAATATGCTGTAATCCGGAAAGATCTAAACAGACATGGCGGAGGTTTAGCCATACTAATCAAGAAGCATATCAATTATACGGTAGTATCACTTCCGACACATCTTGAATCCGTTGAAATTCTATCTGTGGATATCAAAATACATGGCAAAACTACAAGATTAATTGTAAGTTACAATCCTAATCACAACTACTGTTTTAAGGACCTTCGAGAATCACTTAACATACTCTTGTCAACTGAAAATCCATCTATTATCACTGGAGATTTCAATTGTGCCCATGTTGATTGGAATTCATATACAGCATCTGATTCTCAATGCCAGTCACTGTTGGATTTTTCGCTTTAAAATGGCCTGACGCAATTTTTACAAAATCCAACAAGACTCGAACCACCAAATATATTGGATCTGGTGTTCACTAATTCCATGGACATTATCCGTGATGTCATTGTTGGTGAGAAATTCAGTGACCATTGCAGGATTGAGATTGATACCTTTATATTGCTTAATTCTATTTCACCCCTCAAATCAACGAAAAATTTCAAAAAAGGAGAATTTAGATCGATGAATTATATTCTATCAAATATCGACTGGGATTTACGATTTTCAACAATGTCAATTGAAGAAATGTTTGATGATTTGAGAGGAATAATTCTGGAGCTTATTGAATCTTTTGTACGAACAGAAACTCATCGAATTCATAATATAATTTATTCCAAAGAAACCAAACAATTACTGTTGCATTCTATGCATACTTCCATTAGTTTTATATTTGATCTACCAAATTATTTGTGATCTACCCACCTAAGAAGAGCGCCCTTCTCTGGCACTCTTCTTCTTAGTTGTTTCATTGGTCAGAACCCCTCTTTCTTTGGGGCTGACAACCATTCTCGGTCTGTCCTAGTCTCTCCCAGCCTTCTCTACTTTCCCCCTCTATTCTCGTACATCTTTAGTACCTGAATAAATCTGTATTCTATAACTACTATTCGTATTCCTTGAGCCGGCCAGAATGCCGGATCCTAAGGACGTAACAATTACTAAAGAAGAAATTATTGATTTGGAAGAAAGCAGGTAACTCGGACGAGTATAAACATGTTTCAGCATTATTCAAAAAGTCACTCGTGAAATCTGAAGAAGAAAGAATCTATAAACGTCTGAATTCTGGATCAAAAATTTTTTTCGGATTTTTGAAATCGAAATTTAGAGGAAACAGTGATATACCGGCAATACGATATAAATCTAATGAGAATGTTATCATGAGTGATGAAGGAAAAGCCGAAATATTTGGAGATTGCTTCAGTGAATTTTTCAACATTGACAAAGATATCCTTCCTGCTACAGGGAATCTAACTTCTAAGTTCAGCTCAGATGTCTTGTTCACGCCGGAGAATATCGAGATATTACTATATAAACTGAAAGGCCGAAATAATACTTCTCCGGATAGTATCCCGTCAATATTTCTGAAGAGAGCGTGTACACCTCTTGCGATTCCACTATGCATTATATTCACAGAAATTTATCGAGTTGGAAGAATACCAAAATCTTGGAAGGAGGCGATTGTCATGCCGCTTCATAAGAAAGGCTCCCGCTCCGATCCTTTAAATTATAGACCAATCTCTTTAACATCCAATATATGCAAGATTATGGAGAAGTTGATACGAAAACATCTAGTCCAATACTTATCCGAAAATAATCTATTATCAGAAAAACAATTCGGGGTCCTTAATCAGAGAAGTACAATTTCCCAACTGATCGCCTACCAGAACAAGCTTGTTTTCAATTCTTTAAATGGGTTAGATACCGATAGCGTCTATATTGATTTCCAGAGGGCCTTCGATACAGTGCCGATAAAAAAATTGATTCATAAGGTGGAAAGCTTTAGGATATCTCCCAAACTAAGAAATTGGCTTCATTCATTTGTCACGGACAGAAAATTTCAAGTCAAAATCAATGATATACAGGGTCCGCCAAAATTACGTGTGCACAACTTTGACGCCATGGCGCTGCGCACTGACGCACTTTTGGTGCGCAATTTTTTAAAATTTTTATTAATTATTTCATTATTTATTAGTTTGCCAAGTTTCATCCCAATCGGTTATGTTTTAGGTAAATGACAGCGGCAAGTCCTCATCGTACTCTGATCGTCGACTTTTACAAGCGAGGTTTAAGCACAGGAGACATTTCTAAACGACTCGGAGTGCACCGAAACACGGTTTTCGCGACCATCCGTCGTTTCAACCAGCTTGGCCACCTCAAGGACCGTACGGGAAGAGGAAGACCGCGCAAAAAGGATCATCTTATCACCATCTTCTCGGACGAGAAACTCTTCAGTGTCGAGGCTGAATTTAATAGCCAAAACCACCGAGTGCTGGCCACAAATATTCAACAAGCAGCTGAGCGTGGTAAAACAATCCATCGAGCCTCTCATCCTGCGAGCATCATGGTTTTCGGAGCGGTTTGCTATGATGGGAAGTGTCCGCTTGTTTTCGTTGATAAAGGCGTGAAAATCAACCAAAAATACTACGTTGAGGAGATTCTGGAGAAGCATGTGCTACCGTGGGCTCAAAACCACTTCGGTCAGAAGAAATACATCTTCCAGCAAGATGGAGCGCCTGCTCATACCGCAAAAATGGCTCAACAGTGGTGCAAGGACCACTTCCCCGCCTTCATACCAAAGGACGAATGGCCGGCTTCGTCGCCTGATCTGAACCCGCTCGACTACTCCGTATGGGGAGTTCTGCAGAATAAGGTCTGCGCAAGACCTCATGCAAATATCGAGGCCCTGAAGAAGTCGTTGTCTGAGGAATGGGACAAATTATCCGTCGAATACCTGCGTGCCACCATTGATGCCTTCCCTCGACGACTTCGTGCCGTGGTCGCTGCCAAAGGAGGTAGAATCGAATAATTTTTGTTGAATTATGATTTCAAGCGTTGAAATAAACTATCTGTTAAATTTCGTCTTAATCTCGCATCTACTTCTGGAGATAACGTCATCTACACTTGCACACGTAATTTTGGCGGACCCTGTACTATCGAAGGAGAGGCGCGTATTGTCCGGAGTCCCGCAGGGCTCTGTTCTTGGGCCTACCCTCTTCTTGTTATATATTAATTGTATTGGTGACAAATTTCAAAGTGACTATCTACTGTTTGCAGATGACTTGAAAATTTATGATACGAATGATAGATTGATTGATGCAGATTTAATTGAATTGGAGAATTGGTGCTCGAAGTGGAAAATGAAAGCGGCTCCTAAAAAGTGCGAATACATCAAATTCAATGCAACAAGAAAATATGCCAACTCCAATGTTATGAATCCCAAATTAAATCAAGCTTTGATTCCCCCTGTGGAAAATGTCCGTGATCTTGGGATCTACTTTTCCAGTAACCTGAGCTTCCATTATCATTATTCTTTGATTATTCGGAAATCACATCAGAGGATCAACATGTTCTTTTCCATTCTAAAAAACGCATCGTGGAGTGTTTTTATAAAATGCTATACAATTTACATACGCCCTTTACTTGAATATTGAACGATAGTCACTTCTCCAATCCTAAAGGATCATATTATAAAATTGGAATCGGTGCAAAAGTCATTTGTTTTCAGAATTTGTGTTAGTGGTTTTCTCCCCTTCGTTGAAATAAATAAATAAATAAATAAATAAATAAATGCAAGCTTCAAAATGATTGTAAATACCGTAAAACCTGTATTAGCAGAGCCGGCCCTTATTTTTTTTTCCAAGGCACCTCGGAGGGCCTTTCTATTAGAGGGGCCCTTCTAATACAGGTTTTACGGTATGTAACATTTTGAGAAGATTTGAAGTTTTCCAGAATTATCTAAAATTCTGAATTTCAAAATTTTGGATAATTTCAAAAAATGAAATTTTTGAATCCTTTTTATCTAGGTCATGGCCTAATTTTTTGAGTTTCTGGGCCAAATTGAGATTTCTAGACCACGACCTAACTTTTTTGGGATTTTTAGACCATGGCCTAATTTTTTGGAATTTCTAGGCCATGGTCTAACTTTTATGGATTTCTAGGCCATGGCCTAACTTTGATGGGGTTATTCAGCTAGGTAAAAAACCTGGTTTTTTACCGGCAAAAAAGGTGAACAACAGGTTATGTCCTAATTTTTATGGTTTCCTAGGCCATGGCCTAATTTTTTTGGGATTTCTAGGCCATGATTTAACTTTTTTGGAGTTTCTAGGCCTTGGCCTGATTTTTTGGAGTTTCTAGGCCATGGCCATCTTTTTTGAGTTTCTGGGCCAAATTCGGATTTCTAGCCATGACTTAATTTTCTTGGATTCCTAAAAAATCCCTCACCTTAACATTCAAAATCGCGCCAAACTGTGAAAACAGCTGCCATAGCAGTGTGTCATCCGTATCCGCCGCTAGATTATACACAAAAAGACAGTATCCCGCAGTATCTGATGGCGGTAGCGTGGCAGCTACACTAGCCGACAGTGCCGATAGCTGAGCATGAGCAGCGATTCCAGCTCCGTTGGCTGCTGGAGGACTTGCAGTCTGTGCGACTTGTTGTTGGGCCGCCGCTTGCTGTTGTTGCTGATGGGCTAGAAGGGAAGCTGTGAAGTCTGGAACCGCGGTCGCTGTGAATGGCGTTAATCCAGCTAGGGCATTCAGTTGAGACATTTGAAGAAGAGCTGATGTTGTAAGGTAGTCGGCTGGGAGGGTGGCTGTTGGTTGAGAGACTGCGGTGATTGCACCCATTGGAGAGTATCTGGAAATGTTCAAAATTATTTCAACTTAGTTAAACCGGTGCCAACCGGACCACTTGGAGTCATGCTTTGAGCCTAATCTATGAGGATTACTGTATTTCCTCGATCCTACCCAAATGATCATTTTGAGTTCAATTATCTCGGTTCTTTTCAAAGATATCAAAAATTGGTCAACTGATAAAATGTTTGTGATAATATGATAAAAATTTTGGCAGTTGGCCACTCCCTGATATCTTTCACAAGAAATAAGATATAGGATTTCGAAGTTAGGCTCTTATTATACAAGTTCTACGCCCCGCTCATTTTTCATCTCTTACTAACCTATATTTCGAAGTAATCGGCGTATGATGCATTGGTCCGATTCCTCCAGCGGCTGCCCTTAGCGTCGGTGCTCCCAAAATCGTGCTCAATGGAACGAGTGTCGTTGCTGCCTGTTGTAATCCCTCCAGCTCGCCTAATAATCCTTTCGGATTGTTGCTAGCCGGATTATTCGCGAATTTTACAGTAATCTGTTCGGAACATCCTGTTGGTATACTTCCGTTTAACGTTTTGATCGCCGTATCTGCCTCGTCTTTTTTGTCGAATCGCACGAATCCCACTCCTTTTGAGAGACCTGAAAAATCGTTGTTTTTGGAATTTAGAGTCAAAGTTGGGGCCGCGGGCCGAGGATTTGGCCGAAAATCCTTTGCAAGAACGACGCTCTGTTTGCCCTCAATTATCTCAATTGAGGTAGAAGATACCAAAAATCTGTCAACTGATAAAATGTTTATTATAATATCATAAATGTTTATTAGTTGACAGTGTTTTGATATCTTGAATAGGAACCGAAATGATCGAGCTTAAACTTGACTGGGTTGAGGCAATAAATTTGGCATTCATATGTTTTTTGAACTCCAAATGAATTTCTGAATTTCTGGATTTATGAATTTCTGAATTTCATGAATTTCTGAATTTCATGAATTTCTGAATTTCTGAATTTCTGGATTTCTGAATTTCCGAATTTCAAAATTTCCGAATTTCAAAATTTCTGAATTTCTGAATTTCTGAATTTCTGAATTTCTGAATTTCTGAATTTCTGAATTTCTGAATTTCTGAATTTCTGAATTTCTGAATTTCTGAATTTCTGAATTTCTGAATTTCTGAATTTCTGAATTTCTGAATTTCTGAATTTCTGAATTTCTGAATTTCTGAATTTCTGAATTTCTGAATTTCTGAATTTCTGAATTTCTGAATTTCATGAATTTCTGAATTTCTGAATTTCTGGATTTCTGAATTTCATGAATTTCTGAATTTCTGAATCTCCGAATTTCTAAATTTCTGAATTTCTGAATTTCTGAATTTCTGAATTTCATGAATTTCTGAATTTCTGAATTTCTGAATTTCTGAATTTCTGAATTTCTGAATTTCTGAATTTCTGAATTTCTGAATTTCTGAATTCCTGAATTTCTGGATTTCTGAATTTCATGAATTTCTGAATTTCTGAATCTCCGAATTTCTGAATTTCTAAATTCCTAAATTTTTCAACTTCTGAATTTCTGAATTCC